CGTCTTCAAAATCAAAAGGAACCTCAACTTCTGGGTCACTGTCCTCTTCGTCCTCCTGTCCATCATCGGCATTGGCATCTACGCCAGCTTCGTCAGCCTCCTCTTGGTCTTCCTCGGGTTCGGACTCATGGCTGGCCATGGCGTAGCCCTGGTCGATGGTGAACTGGTGGATGGAATCGAGTACCTTAGTAAGGCGAGTCCTCAGTGATTCAGGAATTGAGAATGGGGTACATGTTTCATCAATATATGGAACCCTACCTTGCAATTTGAATTTAACGCATTGTCCATCAGGTCGAAGAAATATGGGAGTAGTGTCCTTTCCCCAAACAAAATCATATCCCTGTTCTAAGCACCTCAAACCAATTGAAAGTGCAGAGGGAGTACTTTGGAGAATGTAGGGGTTGAAGGATTCACATAACCCTGGCAAGATCACCTCTACTACTTCGTCAGCAGTGATAGGTCCATTGGCAGTAGTAAGGGAGATTGGTTCGTTGGATTTGAATATCTTGGTGGCCCTGTTGACTGTCTTAGAGTCCTTACCTACGATGTCCTGGTCAGTGCCAGTGTCACCCAGCCACTTCTCCATACCAACCATGTTTGGCATCGCTGTTAAGCGAGCACATGACGGCACCTGTTCTCCGACGACTGTTCTGCACTTCGTGCAGCACAAATCATCGGGGCCTTCTGGGGAATGTTCACAAAGGAAATCACACGCAGGCTCCTCGGTATCCATCGAAACGAGCATCTGCCTAAGTGACTCCGCTGCCAAAATGGCGTCCTTAGTGTCACACTCGCGGGATTTTGGGCATTCCTCAGTGGTCCGGAACAGGTTCCGCTTCTTGCTCTTATTCACTACATGCCGGTACATTTCCTTCCAAACAGGAAAGGTGTGTACCTCCGGTTCTAATTCAAAACGAATTCTCTTCTCTTGCACAACACGGAAAATTGACTTTCCAGTCCAATCAAATTTCTGTTTCGCGTTTGGGTGTTTCTTCCAATTACCCTTGATTGTCCTACTCTTTCCCTTTGAGTCAGTGACTACCATGGTAAACTGGTCTTCCAACCTAGATGACTCAACTGGACAGGATTTACGTGTTGGGAGAAACGACCTGTGCCTAGGCTTCAAATGGTGCCTAATCAACTCATTGCCATCTTTGGAGAATTCCCAGTAGTCTTTACTCTTTTGGGTCCGAGTTGCGGTTGCTGCTAAGCAAGACATTGCGAAACCTGTTTGAATACATGGACTGGCCTTTGGACTTTTGTCCTTCTTTTCCCGTTTGCTCTTTTTGTCCTTTTTGTCCTTCTTGGATTTCTTGTCCTTAGACCTTTTAGCTGCGGGCGAGGGACTCCTTCTGCGCGGGGCTGGTGTTGCAGTGTCTCCGTGTTTAAACGGGCATTTGTCACCCCTTTTGCAGTTACCCTTTGCAAAGAACCTGCATGGCTTGTCAGATTTCCTCCCTCTACTGGAGCTTCTTGATGAGTTCCTTGAACTGGAGCGGGAAGTGTGTCTTGACGAACTTCGAGATCGGCTTGACCTGAACGATGAACGGCTGCTCGGACTTGCGCTACGCGAACGAGACGACTCCCGACTAAGGGAGCGGGGACGGGCGCTAGAGTCGTGTGAGTACTTGCATTTGCTCCCGTACTTACACTTACCAGTTTTGGCATACTCATAGCATTGATTGCTTCCGTCACCCTTTGTGCTTCGTTTGCCATAACTTGGGCTTCGCGTGCGCTTGTCGTGCGGTGCCGGGTTTGCGAACTTTGCCGCGTGTGATTGTGATATCTTTTCGCGATTGGTCCTGAGCCTTTCCCTGTCAAGGTAACGTCGAACAGAATTGATAAGAAATTCATAGCTTCTGTCGTTACTTCCCTCCGGCGCTCGTTCATAAACATCAAGGTCAAATCTGAGCTTGCGGGACTTCCTAACCTCTCTATAAAACAAATCCTTGAGAGTTGCCGGGTCTGGGACATGACTCATTCCGGTCAGAACACTCTCCCATTTTCTTAGAAAGGATTTCAAGTCGTCGCTATCAAGCGAGATCTTGAGGAGGTCCTCAGTGCCATACAGTGCACCCGCTTCTTCACTGGTCTTGAAGTGGACTTCAAACATGAGCAACACCTGACGACCACGGACGATCCTACCTTGCTGTGCCTCAGATTCCTTATAATTAAGGATCTGCTGAGACAGTTCACCTTTGGCAACCTTAGTTAAAGCAGCAAGTAGTTTCGTGTCTAAGGTCCGAAACTTGCCTGGGTCAGCCAATTCGGAACAAAGCTTGGCTTTGTCTTCACGAACAGCGTACACCTCAAGCACCCATGCGAACGCAGCGTCTGGGTCATCGGACGCGGACCGTATCGCTTCGCGAACAGCGGCCCTCCAAGTGCGGTACCTATCAGGACTTGGGAATTCGGGAAGATCTATCTTATCAGCCTCCTTTGCCTTGGGTTTGTCAGAGTCTTTGCTCTTAGCGCCCTTAAACCCTTCTAGCAAGGCCTTCTTGATGATTTCCCCCAAATCTTGGTCTTGTGGAGTTCTTACCTGAGAAGCCGGCCCTTCGTCCTTGCGATCATCCTTAGTCTTTGTTGCTCCCTGATTAAAGGAGCTTTTGTACAAAGGATCATCACTGAAGTTATATTGTGCTGACTTCTTCATGTACTCCGTCCACGGATCCGGTTGTTTGAATTGTTGCCTGTCCGTAGAGGCCGTTGCCTGTTCCGTTGCGGGCGCCCCTGTCCCTGAGAACATTGATGGGAATCCAGTGTTGCGCGTGGACGCTGTTGCATCCATAGCCGTCTTTATAGGGGTTCCGCCTTCCTCACGAGGCTTACCGTCTAAGGTTGCTGGAACAGTGCCTTCCGTGCGTAGAGGTTCAAAAGATCGCGGTTGACCAATTGGGTGAGCGTCTTGTCGAGCAGAAGGTGTAAGTGGCTCAGGATATTGCGGCCCTGGCTTAACGGGGCTAGAGGATTGCGCCTTGCGCTCCGCTTCCTTGCGTTCCTCTTCCCTGTCTGTCAAGGACTGTACAACACGTCTGAGCTCGTCCATTTCACCCTTCAACATTGCATTGTCCTTGCGAAGCTCAACTATAGTTTGCTCTTGCGTTTCCCGATCAACCTTATATTGCTTATTTGTTGTCTCCATCTCATTGACAAGAGTTTTGATCTTTGCCTGTGCAATTGCTAACGAACTGTCCAGTTGTTCTCGCTTGAAGTCAAGCTCTATGGCGATCCGGGATTCTTCAGCAGACGAATGTCTTGCCTGATCCTTTGCCTCTAGAGCTGCCTTCAGCTTAGCCTCCTGTTGCTCAACATACTGGTGATGTTCAGTTCTCATTTTGTCAACAAAAGCATTGCCTTCTTCCGCCATGGCATTCTTTTCCTGTACAACTTTCTCATGAGCTGCTGTCGCCTGAGCTAGCCGCTGCTGAAAATGTTCCCTTTGCTCCTCCAATGTACCTTGCAACCGTTTGATTGCAACATTGTCTTGCTGTTGGACCATTTGCTGAACACTTTGTTCCTGCTGTTGGGCCCTTTGTTGAACATTCAACATTGCCTGCTCTGCGGCAGCCTTTGTTGCCGCTATAGATTCGGAAGCTTCTCTTTCGTAAATACTCCTGAAGCGCAATGCCTCGATTTCAGCTTCCCTCCTGGCTTGTTCGCTGAGCAAAAACTCATGTTGTTGTAACTCCCGTCGTAGTTCTTCGTCGTTTGGCGTTGCATTCAGGTTGACGACGTTGAGCCGAGTCATTGCCAACAAGTTGTTTACTGTTGGCGCACCAGCTACGGTGGCTGACGGCATACCTGCTAGGGTAGCTTGTGTCGCCTCTTGAAGAGTAACACTACCACCACTATTTAGCATCTCTTGGTACACCTCCGAAGCAACCCTTGGATCCATTGCAGCCACTTGTGCAACCGCTTGTTCATGCCGTTGAACTGCATCCAAACTATTGGGCACACTCGGAACTATGTCAAAGCCACTTCCGTAGGAGTTTGGTGGGACGTCGTCATCCATCGGGTCCATAGCTCTAATCTAGCTAGCCTACGGCTGATAACCTGTATTTTACAGGATCAGCTCTAATAGTACTAACTACCTAACTAACCCTGCTAGTCCGGTAAGCGCTACCTTTTGCTCTACCTTGAGAGTCAACGCTACGGGGTCCATGGGGATGAGGTGAATTTCAACAGAATCACACTTGTACTAGCTACTATAAGTAGCAATAATGATAGTAACAATAGTCTAGTACAAAATAGATTGGTACGATAATATCTTATCCACATAATCCCCACATCTATGGGTGTAAATACATATGGACTGAACAACGTCAGTGTGGCTCCTACCTTGGCTTTCTCTCTCTCTAAATGAGTCCGGCTGGAAGGCGCGCAGAACTCTCTTTTAGGGTCCATCACCTCTTGTGGATGCCAGACTACATGCAATGGTCATTTCATGTCATACGATTAAAATTGCGCTCTTTTTGTCTGTGATTGAGGTCATTTCTAGATCAGGCGCTGATGAAGCCGAAGAAGGATTCACAACATGTTCATTTGCTTCAGGCATTCATGGTCTTGAACCCCAACAAAAGACTATAGCAGTATCTCGCACTGTTTCCTTCATCCAAGCCAATTGATTCTGTCAAGTTAAATCAGGGGTTTCATAGGTTGGCGCGCTAAACCGTCGTCTCTATTGATAGCTGTGAAAGCAGCTGCACTAATTATATATAATATTGCATGTTAAATATTGTTCCATTATCAAGGCTACAAAGACTGACATAAAGCCTGAAATTGTTTGCTGGAGGACTGTTACAGTAATGATTATATGTTATCTCCTCTGCAATCAACTTTTGAAGCAACAACACCCGCTTAGTGGATACAAGTTCCGCCCCAAATGCATGCTTATATACTAACTATACATATCTATAATCTGAAAAGAACCTTTCCACTTCCACAATTCCCAACGTTGAACGTGGTTGGGACGTCCTTGCTCGCTCATCTCGTCCCGCCTGCAGTGCACGTGACATCGCTCCCTGCATTGAAGAGGACCATGGCGGTGAGATCCTGCAGAAAGAAGTCCTGCCAGGTGAGACTGCTGAAACAACAAGTCCCTCGACCGAGAATCGAATGCTCGACAAAGAATCGCGACAGCAGCTGTGTAGCCGCCACTTCCAACCCCGACCGAAAGACCGAAAAACGACCTCACATCTGTCACTGGAGAGGTCGTTTTTTTGGGGATTTAGTCGACCCAAACACGGGACTGGAATCTATGCCGCCCCATTAATTCCCTCGAACCCCCAACTGATCGGCAGTCCTATATGGCAGTCCCAGGTCGACGATGCCGCGGGGGGAAGAGATGATGACAACACCAGGACCAACGGACCAACGGAAGTGTCTTGAGACACTCCCTGCATGCTGTCGGGTTTGTTCGATGCTGTCAAGGTTTGCACCTTGAAAACATGGAATGATTCAAAAAAAGATCTCGAGTTGAGTGCTTAAAAGCTGCTCGTTTCCTGGTGACATTGAAGTTTAAACATGGTGTCTGTGTGCAATACGTAATCTGGCATCTATACATGTGCAAAAAAAAACATCTGAGAGTATCATTTAGCTCATCAACTCCCTTATACTTATCATCTCTAAATTGCATATTCTGGTTCAACCTGTAGTGCTGCATGGTCGCAGTTGCAGACGACATTACTTCAAGTGGTGCAAGGAACAACAAATCCGCCATTCACCTATAAGACCTTGGTCCATGGCTTCTGAAACGCTTGGTCCGTGGCTTCTGAAACGCTTGGTCCATGGCTTCTGAACCGCAGGAGCTTCCTACTTTTGCATGCATCTTGGGCCACGCCCTTCAACGGCCCCGCGTCGCTTCGCGTCTTTCCGGCCTCACAAGCACCATCCGACTTCCGAGCGACGGCATAAGCGTCTGGCACCGAAAGGCGCAGCATGCCACCTGGCCCCCCAGGAGAAACCGCCGCAAGCGGCGACAAAACTTTTTGATGCGAAACCGAAGCGGAAAAACATCGATGGCGGGGTTCCCGAAACGTGTTCCCCGATCCAACCAGCGGTGGTTTTGGAGAGGCCTGGGGTAAACAGGATTTGCATTGACGGTCTTCCATGTACTAGTATTTCTTAGTATTTCATAGTATTTCCATGACGCTGCAGCTGAGGCATGTTCGGGGTGGTTCTGCTGGGACAACTGTCAGCCTAATAGGCTGCATTGCTGCTGTAACAGCAAAGACAAATAAAGACAGCTAGGAAGAAAATCACAACATCACCTCCACACCAACAGCTATGTTTATACCTCGCGCAGCGTCCATCCTCGCGTCCGCCCAATGAACGATCGTATAGTGTCGGTTTTGGACCCAGGAGGTTCTTGTGGACCTTGCGAGACCAACTCCGGTCCCGGACCATCCATCGGATGTGACGTGACTCATGTGTCGATCAGTGACTCAGCCCTGATCAGTGACTCGGCCCATCCCTCGACTCGTTGTTTTAGAGGGCTCTTGTTCCACCTTGTGACACACATGACGAAGGGGACTGACATACATCTGACCCCACTTTTTCAACATCCCTGAACCCCCCCTACCCTGATCGGTCCATCTGTCAGTCCCATGGAGACATGGAGTGTTTGGATTCGTGTCGGATCGACCGATGGGGCGACTAGGCAGGCCGCGAGCAGACCCCGCCTCCGGCAGGATCTCCGCGCACGTCCTGTGGTGTTTAGAGGGCGGTGGGCCAGAGTGAAGCTGTCCCCGAAGTTGTTGATCAATCATAGCCTAGCTTTTTTAGTGGTGCCTCAGCAACCACCCAAGCTTCGAGGAAGTTGTTTGGGTCGTCTCTTTTCTTTCGGGTAAAGGGTGCTTGGACTCTTTGGATGTCACCCCGCTATGCCCTAGAAACCCGATATCCCAGCAATCAAAATTCCAAAAAGTGTTCTTATTCTTGGACATGTTCCTCTACCCTAGCCTCCCAAAACCATTAAAAGAAGGGTTGACCGGTTTTGTGCATGGGATTTTACCATGGCTGTGGTTGGAAGCCTAGAGTCTTGACACGTCAACCACTCAAGTGGACCCGGCACAGCTCGACAGACAAGTTCAATTGGTCTATCTCCTTCCCCTGTGCATCCCGGCAAAGCACTCTAGTTGCTGGGAGTCCCAGTGGTGCACCCAGAACCTTAGGCAAACCTAGAAAACATCTAGAAACCCTGGTTCCTTTTTTCAAGCGTTTCCAAGTGGCTGCCAGGAATCCGGGTTTCTGCCTGCCGGTCCGGTCTTGGGATCAGCCGACCCTGCATAAACCGAATGATCCGCAATATACGGTGAATCAGGGGGAGCTCAACTACGTACTGAGGCCTTTTGGGGATGATTATTTGAGGATCTTTGAGGGTGTAGTGTTTGAAGGGGCTACTGGCTACCTTTTGGTGTTTGGGAGGAGAAGACATATGAAACCCCATCCCGGCTGTCAGATCTTCCCCAGTGCCAAGCGGCCTTGTGTGGACGAAAGCGCAGCGTCACTGGATTCGGTGGAACATTGGCGTCGCTGATGCTCCTCCCGTCACTGCGAGACACAAAAAGAGAGAAGAAGCACGTGGAGTGGAGTGACAGGGCACATGATTTTGCCAAACATCCTTTTCGAGGCGAGGTGACATGAAACATCATCACACGCATCTATAGCATTCTGCAAGCTCTTTCTTAGTTGGTCCAGGTATGTCCAAGTCAATGACAGGAGCATCAATCAGTTCCCCGCCCCGCTTTTCTTCAGGCCTGAGCTTCGGGGTCAATGAGATGTCCTCCACAGTTCGTGGCGGAAGCGGGCGCTAGTTCACAGTGGGCCCAAATGAGGCAGGATACCCTATAGAGCTGCCCAACCACATGGCTGTGTACTAAATAGGGAATCCTCCCAAACACCGGGGCCTTTTGCCTTGGCCCATGTATGCCCATGTTGATCTTTGGAGCTGCTTCAAGGAAATCACACATGATCGATTTAGCATGATTTATCAATGGCTTCTTGCCCTCTGCTTTCTTATGCTGGATAGGCCACAGGGCTGTCCGACTGGATAGTCCAATCAAACCAAGCCTTGATAACAAACAATCTTTTTCTTTGAAGAATCCTCAAAGCACACAACATTCATGTACATAAATTCACCAACAGCAACCAAATGTCTAAAGTGTGTTCACTCGAAGGGACATAAGGGACTAGGGACCAGCCATGTCTGACCCACCGGTCCGGTCGCTCACACCGGTCGTCTTCCGATCGTTGGTCGCACCAATCACTCAAAGCGTCACACTCGGAGTTGCTGAACCGCAACGAAAACAGGACACAACAAGCACTGGCGTTAAGCACAACACACACGGAAACACAGATTGCCAGGGATTCACCATGGATTCACAGTCATACTGGGCCATCCTCAGTTGTTTTCTGCATGTGTTTCTTGGATCACCCCGAGTTTCTCGGGCACCAGTCACGTTCCCGAAAAACCGGTGAGTCTTCGCTGCTCGCGCTTCAACGCTCGACCGTCACGGCGCGAAGCTCTGCTCTCCGTGAAGCTCCACACGGTGAAGCTGGGGAAGGACACGGCGCTCTCGCGTGCCAACCTGGCGCGGAGACGAACACGTCGACGCGGGCGAAGTGGCGGGTTGCGCGGGTGGGGATGGAGCCATTGGGGTGGGCGATGGGAGATGGAGCAAGAAGACCAAGTGCGAGATGGGCGATGGGTGATGGGGAAAGAAGACGGACTGTTTGTGAGAAGACGGACTTTCAGCGTCCAGCCGGAAGACACAAAAATACACAAAGTGTGTCCAGATCGGAGTTTGAGTAAGGTCAAAGCATGGCAAAAAGGATGATGATTCCCACAGAATGGAATGGTCACAGCGTCAAACCCTTTTCCAAGTTATCTGGAGTGCCCGTTCCTGCATATGTTTGTCAATTGGCATGGTGTGATAAAAATTAATCGCACCCACAGCGGACATCGAACACATCAGCAAAACGGATGATAGATTTTTAGGGGTTGGATTTGGAATCTTCCCGGCAGTGTTTTTCTAGACCGCCCCGACAGTGCACCCCACACTTCTTCTCCACTAAGTAGATGCAAACTAAATGAAGATCGGTGTTTTTGGCATCTGCTGTTCATTAGCTACGGCATGCTACGGCAATACGCTTGCCGGCTCATTAGCCCTACCACAACTCACTAAATAGGTTGCTCGGTTGCTCATGGCCTTTTGCCTCTTTTGGGTCAATTCAACAGCTCAGGCTCAGGGGCTTCTACCAGTCTGCCACCGGTCTCTGCTGCCCAAACACTCCAAGCTCCAGGTGTTTGGATCTGGAAGCTCCAATGGATTCATCACGGTCACCTGGGCGTCTGGCTGCGTCTGGTGGCCTCTGCTGAGGCGAGTCATGCATGCAAAGTACTTCGTCATTGAAGCATCTCCTGAATCTGCTTTTTGACTGGGACAGGAAGTGACGAATCGAGTAATTAAAGGGTACCACTGCCACCAAAAGAATTCCTTCAGGTCTTCATGGATCCTATTCCACAATGGGTGTGTGGCATTACAATAGGGAGACTCTCCCAATATCTCCCTCCGGGAAAATCGACCAGTCTACCCTGGCTGAGGGCCAGGGGGAGTCCCTATATTAAGACACACCCACATCACTCCACATCCGCTGGACCCGTGGACCATGGCCCGCTCGCGTGTGAAAGACTTTCCTGCTGCTTGCGGCTCCCACAGTCCAACGTAAGTCGTAAGTGATGAACCATGGGCATTGGAACCGGAGTGCCGGAATGCCATGGAGGTCCACTTTTGAGAGCTCGTGGGAAGGGAAGATAGCACAACCGTTATATGTAGCAACTGCATGTCAAATGAGCTTGAAGTTGTTCCATTCACGTGCTCAAACCACATCGATCTCCTCAGCCCAGTGACCCGGAAAGCATAAAGGCGATTGGGACGAAGACCCAGATCCACGTGCATCGTAGCTCGGGACCCCAGTCCTCAGCGTTGGGATTGGGGCATAGAAGAAAGATCAAGTAGCTCCAGCCGGAGCAAAACAGGTAAGGTAGTACTTGTCACAAGTAGTAGCTCCAACCACAAGACACAAGTACTACCAAACAAGATAGTACTACCACAAGACACCTGTAGCAGGTTGGGTTTTCGATTGGGGCATATACCCAAGACACAAGAGGACTTTGGACCCGTCCATGAAAAAAAAACACTTCCCGATGGCGGAAAGAAGAACGTTTGACAGGTGGAAGAAACTGTATACGTGTTGTGAATCAATTTCACACTACCAGCACAGGGTGGTCCAACAACTCTAGAGGAGACCAACGTTGGAGGTGCTGATGCAAGTGTTTTGAGATATTCATGTTGGGCGATCCAAAGCTTCAGAAACATGCGATCCAATTCACGGACTTGCAACCGGGAGGCCGACGCAAGAATTCACCTGCACGCAGGGCATCGCAAGGGCATCGCGGAGACAGCGCTCCGTGTTCAGAGACAGCTCTGAACAAAAGGGAAGGTCATCTCAACTCATCTCATCTCAACTCATCGGGGAATCTGCCCACCAAGGGCTAGAAACGTTCTCAACCAATGTCAAACACTAGGCAGGTTTGAATCTGGGAGTGAACTGGTTTAATGTTGCAAGCAAACTAAAACATACTGGACACCGCAGCTCATCTGAAAGAACGTCACCAATCATATTGATGTATAGTATATAAGCATAGTATAGTAGAGTATAGTAGAGCAGAGTAGAGTAGAGTAGCATTGTCTTTCATATTACCCGATCAACAACCAGTCCAAACCTCTGAAATTCATTCACAAACCACCACCAGATCAACACCTTCAGCTGCCACACACCCCTGTCACCCACCTGTGCCGCCGTCTCCCAGGCATGGAAGCCAGGCAAAGAGCCGAGGGTTCCAAAGACTCCACCAGGGCCATGGGCCTTAAATGCATCTGCAAATGTCAAATGGATGGATTAAAATCATTATAAATCATTATAAGTCCATGAAACAAACAGCATGCCTGAAGCACATGTTTTTGGACACCAATCTGTGCCAGAGTCGTTTTTTTGTGTTAGGAACCACCCCTGATTCTCGCTTGGGACTTATTGGACTTACTGGACGGAAGACCAAACTACGTGCGGTTCAGAGTGATTGGTCAGTTATTACCCATGCCATGCGGGGATTCAATAAGATTCATTTCAAGGGAACATATCTCCACGCCCATGTAATATGTCAGCGAACAGAACTATTCGCTGAAACCGAGCAAGGTGGTGAGTTGAATTGGTCCATCAAAAGATGTGGTCCACAAGGGCAGGCTTCTCGGATTCGCTTGGTACGTCTCACCCGCGTCCGTTGAGTTTCTTGATTAGCTGATTAGCAAATCAACAGGTTGATCTACAGTAGATGATGCTCTCCACATGAGGCAAGGACATGTCCTTAAACAAACACATATGATGCGACCCATCTCCTGGTGGGTTGACCTCCCCAGTAGTCTATTCTGCTCATGAATTTGCTGGTCAACCAGGGTGTCCCGGTTTTGACCCACCGGTTTTGGTCAAATCACCACCACTTCTTTCTTTGAAGAAAACAAACCTGTTCAGTTCTGCGTTCGATGATCTTTTGGTCGAACCTCTCCTCGACCCGAAAGCGGCGGCGGTTTACGCCCAAGCAACTGTACTGAGCCCGGGCAAACAGTCCTGGTGAGGGAAGGGAAGCACGCAGTCTTGGGGTTGAATATACTGAAATAGGGAGACCTCTTAAAGACCCCACGAGAAAAGGCACATAAACAAACACCCATCAAAAACTGGTTCGAGGTGCCTATATTCAACCCCAATCCACACCTGGTGAGTTTCAGGGAAAAATCATCCGTTCAACACAGAATAACACCAGGTGCCGTCTACCAGTGCCATAGACGAAGTCCCCCTGGCGGCGAGGCAGCCATACTCATTGTTCCTTCCGGGAAAGAGGAGATCCCAAACACCCAATGGGACCCAAAGTCAGCGCGTTTTCTCATGCTTTCTCGACCCAAAGTCAGAGTTAAAACCCTCCCAAAGTAAGCACGATCTTCCAAACTTCTCCATGAATCCTGAAAGCCTTTCACTCCACTGGACGAGTTTCTTTTTGCTCCCCCGTGCCTTGATCAGTCCATGTCATTTCTTCCTATGCCGGAGAGCGCAGCTTGGCTCCGGAAAAAGAAAAGAACAACGCTGCTTGGCTCGCTTGGGTCGCGCAGCCGGCTTCTCCTGGTCGAAGGCAAAACCGAAAGGCCCAATGAGACGCAAGGTGCCCGAGGCGGCGGAGAGCGCCAACGAGAAGGCGAAGATGAGCCTCGTGACCCGCCCGATGCGGAGCGAGGAGCATCGCAGCATGGCGTGACCCGAAAGAGGGTGACCCAAAGGTGTTCTCCAATGGACTTTCTGGTCCTGGTTGTGGTTGTCATGGCTGAGCGCTTTAGAATCTGTATCTTTAAAAGGTCGGGGGTTTCTATCTGTTCCATGCCCATGTTTTCTGTCTTTAATGATCAGATCAAAAGGGACATATTGGGGTATTTGTCTGCTACTCAGCAATGAGGGGCTGCATTGCAATGAGTAATTTATGTAGTATCAGTATCATGTATATAGGACATGTTTGATGTCATTCGCTGTGGCCCTCAACTATAGAACTACCACCATTTATGCGTCAATGCGTTCGGAAGTGCCCTGACACAGTGAAGAGACTCAAACATCAAAGAGGTTATTTAGAAGACAACGTTCAAAGAGCTTCTCTCCCAGGACCCTCGGAGGGGTGTCTATAAATATCTATAAATTATACCAGGACCTTCCAACAGGTCACCACCTGCGACTTTTAGGTCAGCAAAAGCCTCCAGAGGAGACCTGTTGGAAGGTGCTGGTAGAGGTTATAAGGGGTGTCCAAAAACCACCTGTTGGAAGGTCCTGGTCAGTATCTGCAAAAACTCGTGTTTCTTCATTCTGGCTCTGATTCTGCCGACTTTTGTACCGGAAGATCGATTCCGCATGCGCCATGGGCCATGCAATTTTCTGCATGCCAGGCTGCTTGTTTCTCTGACCAGGACGATCGTTCCTTCCAGTGGCATACCTGCAAAAACGGAGGCTACGCTCGAGCTGCTCGTTGGTCTAAAAGTTTAGATTCTTCGCAAAGGGCCTTTGGTCCGGATAGGCTATAGACATCTGAATTGGGAGTTCCGGAGGGGATTTTCGGGATCGCCATATTACAGTCATATCTGACGGTGAGACCACCGCGCACAGGCATTTTTTGTCCAAGAAGAAAAGGGGTGAGGTTTTTGTCGAGAGTTATGAGCCCAAGACCCTAGCGCGGTTCCGCGCGAGCGATGGCGACCGAACGGTCACACTCGGTGCCGGTGAGTGGCCATGCGGCCATCGTGAATCCATGGTGGTCGGAGCGGCTGCAAGCTGAGGCGCTGTTGCGCCACAAGCGACCCGAGGACTTGCCAGTCCCACAGGACGAAGACTTGGACCTGGAAGCGGTGCAGGATCAGAACACCGCTAGCGGCTTGGGAAAAGGTCGGGGTGCACTGACCTTGGGCGGACGGCTGTTCGTCACACCTCCGAGCCGCCGTGGTTCCGAGGGAAGAGGCCGTGGTGGGCTTGGAAAGACTGAGGGTCAAATGCCTGGGGAGTCCAGTGGGGAACCTCCAAGCAGGCGAGACAAAACGATGGGACCAATCCCACCGCAGTATGCTCCTCCTCCAAAGCATGCACCGCCCCCAAAGCCGGATGTAGACGATTCGTGTGGGCTGCAGCGTGCGATGGAAGCGGAAATGGTGATCTTCCTGAGGGAGGAGAATGAAAAGCTTCAAGAGGAAGTCTCCCGACTTAGGCAGCAGCAAGCCGCCAATCGTTCGGGCCCGGTTTCGACACCTTCATCATGGGAGACGGTTGATGGAGGAGTGGGCACTGGGGTTAGGGAGAGTGGTCTACATGATGGAGGTTCTCACGTACATGTTCGTGGTGCAGCCCCCCAAGGTAATGGTCTGTATAGTGATGGTGACCCTATGGTGAGCACTCCAAGAGGAAGGAGCCCGACTACTCGAAGGCTCCAAGTCTCTCAGCAGATGCGGTTCACACCAAATGGAACTCAGATTCCTAACGGGCCACCGCCTTTGGACTTGGATGCACCTCCAATGCCACCTTTCCCCACAAGCGTCTCAGATGAAATTAGTGGTGACTCGGCTGAAATTCAGATGCAGCACTATGAGCTCTTCGATGCTAAGCGGCGAGGTGACTCGCAGTGGGTTCCGCTCTGCATGCGGGAGGGCAAATCCTATGTGCCGATCACCGCGGAGAACAAGACCGAGCGCCTGGAGCGAGAAGTAAGCGAGCTCAAAGCTGCTTTGACTCAGATGCGCGGCAACTCGGCGGGATCTAGTGAGGCGGTTCCGCCTCCATCAGTGACTTGTGCCTCGCAACCTCAAAGTTTTGGGTGGGCCCCTACGCGTGGACCTGGTGTTGGTTTGGGACGTGATGGTGTCTCCCCAAATGATGGTTGGGCTTCTGTTCAAAAGGAAAGGTCTTCTAGTGTGGGACCTCGTGAAGGAGGCGACATGTCTTATGGTCGATGGCACCAAGCTGGCGGGCAGCCAGCCATGCCGCTGCCTTGGAGTGAAGGCACTGGCAACAGCAAGGCCGAGCTTGTCGAGTTGGCCTCTGACGCTTCACCCATTGAATTGGGGGACTGGTTGGCTGTTTGTGGCCCAGTGATGAGGGATCTTTCTTCGGTCAGCGCTCGCTGGTGGAATCTCACTTTGAGGGAGGCTCAGTGCTTCTACGACCGGTGGAAGACATCATCTCCGTTGGAGCGTGTCCAGATTGTGGCCCGACTTCCTGATGAGTTGTTGGATGGCTGCTATCAACGCACGGAGCAAAGAGGAGTGAATCTGTTGCTGAGGGCGATCCCTGCAGACCAGCAGCAAGCGCTCATCACGGCCAGAGAGTTGAACTCCACGGCCCTGTTGTTCAGGCTTCTCATCCGCTATCAACCAGGCGGTGCAGGGGAGAAAGCCATTTTGCTGTCCAAGTTGACCACCCTGGACAAGATCACTGGAGCTTCGGATCTTGCAGCAGCTCTACGCTCATGGCGTCGTCATTACGCCCGGGCTCAAGAGGTTGACGCGGTGCTGCCGGATGGCACTTTGTTGTTGAAGGCCCTTGAGCCTGCGTGTGTGTTGGTGGCTTCGCTGGATGCTCAAGCTTCCTTTCGGTTGGCGCAGAGCCGGTTGCAGTTGGCCGTGGATCAACAGCCTATTCACCAGAGTGTTTGGAGGTTCAGTCAATGCTTGCTGGCGCAAGCCGAGACCCTCTCGCTGTTGGGAACGCCCTCAGGTGGGTAGCCCTTTTTTGTTAAGGTCAAGCAGCTGGACGCACCGCAGAAGACGACTTCAGTTTCCTTCACTGGTGACAAGGGCAAAGGAGGGCCAGCTGGATCTACAACCAGTTCAACGCCTTGCCGGTATTTCCGCTCTGATGCGGGTTGTAAAGCTGGAAAGAGCTGCAAATGGTCTCATTCCTGGGAGGGCATCGAGGACAAACATACCCGGTGCTGGATATGTGGCGGTAAGGACCACAGAAAGACGGAGTGCAAGTTGAAAGCACAGATCAAGTCCTCGCCAATCAAAGCAAGCAAGGGCGCTGGTGAGCCGGGTCCCGGCTCAGGGGGAGGGAAGTCTCAATCCTCTTCCAATGGGACCTCCAATGCCGGGTTGCAGTCAAGTGGCACCACGTCACAAGGGGCCGCAACCGCAAAGCTGCAGGAGATGGAGGTTCAGCAGGACGGCAATAGCGCCACTGGTCCGGGCGATGGTCAATCGGGGGAGACAACAATGGTGAAAGGGGGTGCGGACACAGGGGCAACAACCAGTGAAGCATTGCTCCATGAAGCCACACAACTCCTCAAGTCCCTACGTGCTCCTCAATTGCGTGTGATAAAGGTGAGTCAGCTTGACTATGACACCAGCGGGTCTGCAGTGCTTTTGGACTCGGGTGCAACTCATGCACTTCGCCCAGCAGTCGACCTATGTGAATGGGAGGCTGCACAACCTACACAAGTCACCCTGGCTGAAGGAGTTTCCAACAAGCTCCGTTTGAAGCAGGACTCAAAAGTGCTTCTCTCTGCTCCGCATGACACAGAGCTGGACAAGTCATGGATTGTTCCCTTGGGCGGCATTGCGGAGTTGGGCTATCGTTTTGAGTGGAAGGGTTCCTATTGTTTGTTGAAAGATGATCGTGGCAACAAGTTGGAAGTGACAATACAACATGGCTGCCCTATGGTCAACAAGGAGCTGGGACGGCAGATGATTGACAGGCTGGAGCGACGTCAGGTTCATTTGGCGCAGAAAGCTTTGCTTATCAAGACATTGTTTGCACAGCCGTCAATGGTCCCTATGGCTCCACCTTTGTCAACAGAAATGGCCCTCACACTCAAGCTGAAGCATCTGTTTCAGGATGTGCCGGACGACCTCTTGATGAAAGTGATCCCAGATCTCTCGGATCTCCAGCAGGTAGCTGATGGGTCACTGCTCCCTTGGAACCGGCGGAAAAGAAGACGCCTTGCCCAGGCGAAGCAAATCGTGATCCACCTGTTTTCTGGCCCTGATGCCAGATACTGGGAGAAGGCCCTTCAACAGAATGGAGTAGAAGTCCTTTGTGTGGATCTACAAGCAGCAGTTGCAGCCGACTTGCATGATGACAACGTCTATCGGTTTTTGCTGGCTCTCGCTGCAACAGGCCGTGTCAAGGCCATTGTGGGCGGACCGCCATGTCGCACTGTGTCGGCTTTGCGGTATCAAGATGATGATGGACCAGGCATCCTGCGGTCAGAAGAGCATCCCTATGGCCTCCCCTCCATCTCACTGGCAGAGCAGGCACTGGTTTGGGGTGATAGCATCCTCTTGTTCAGAATGTTGGCATTGTATGTGCTGTGCGAGGATGTTCGCCATGATCATGAGCCACAGACAGCTTTAGCATTGGAGCAGCCTGAAGATCCTGCCCGCTACAGACCTCGTGCAGAAGTCGAGAAGAAAAAGTTCATGTCCATCTGGAGGACAAAAGCTTGGCAGGTCTTTGCCAACACCTACCAGATCCGGATGCTGCATTTCGATCAAGGCCCGATGGGTCATGTGCGAAAGAAACCTACAACCCTGGCGGTCAAGCTCCGGGACATTCAGGCCTTGGATGAAATCCGCGGTCCTCCATGTGGTGGCGAAGAAAGTGACCAAGATCGACGTGGCATGCCCCTGCAAGACCGATGTGATCAGTCCAAACAATGGGCAGCATGGGCCCCTGGGCTTAAGGTGGCTTTGGTGTTGGCTCTTCAAGACCACCTCAAGCGGGGATGTGCACCATCGTTGGAAGCAGCTCTCCGTCCTTTGGGTCAAGTGGCTTTGGAAAGCTGGAGACAACATTACATCCAGGACCACATGCCGGCCCGAAGGGATTGCAAAGAGTGTGTCAAAGCTGCTGCAAGGAGCAAACCGCACAGGCGGATAACACACCCAGAAGCATATACCTTGAGTGTGGATCTGTCGGGACGCATGGTGATTGGCCAAGATCAAAGCCGCCACGACTGCAAATACATGATGGTTGCTGTGTACACCTTCCCCATCGATGGCGCAGGGAAGTCCTTGGTGGAAAAAGTGGAAGCGGGGGCGGATGCAGGTATGCCTTCGTTGGACCTCGACGAGTACACTCCCACGGAACCAGGGGGTGATGATCCTGGTGAGGATTTTCTTCCGGAGGAGGTGGACGAGATCCCGGGGGAGGATAGAGCTGAAGCACCATCACAGGCGATGGCGGAGGCGGCGATTCGGGCCGGTCACACGGCTTTTGATGCTTGGCAAAAGGAGGTGGCTTCCGTCCAAGATGTGGCTGTCCGAAATCTGACCTTTGTGGAAGTTCTTCCAAGCAGGGGTGTTCAGCACATCCTCCGAGCATTGGCCAGGATCTATGCTCGTCTTCGGAGTCTGGGCTTGCCTTTGTACAGGCTCCACTGTGACCGCGCCAGAGAACTGATTTCGGCACCGGTTCGTCGTTGGACTTTGGACAGAAGCATCGTAACCACTT